CATTTCTGCAAGTAGGTTGTTCCAAACATCTTGGAGAAATAACCACAGATCTCCTGTGGATGTAGGCTGCCTCAAATCCTTCTGTCTCTTCATGCAATCCTAGACAGACTTGATGATGTTGAGATCAGGTCTCTGTGGGGGCCAAACCATCACTTCCAGGACTCCTTGTTCTTCTTTACGCTGAAGATAGTTCTTAATGACATTGGCTATATGTTTGGGGTCATTGTCCTGCTGCAGAATAAATTTGAGGCCAATCACACACTTCCCTGATGGTATGGCATGATGGATAAGTATCTGCCTGTATTTCTCAGCATTGAGGACACCATTGATCCTGACCAAATCTCCAACTCCATTTGCAGAAATGCAGCCCCAACTTGCAAGGAACCTCCACCATGCTTCACTGTTGCCTGCAGACACTCATTATTGTACCGCTCTCCAGCTCTTCGGTGAACAAACAATTTGAGGCCAATCACACACTTCCCTGATGGTATGGCATGATGGATAAGTATCTGCCTGTATTTCTCAGCATTGAGGACACCATTGATCCTGACCAAATCTCCAACTCCATTTGCAGAAATGCAGCCCCAACTTGCAAGGAACCTCCACCATGCTTCACTGTTGCCTGCAGACACTCATTATTGTACCGCTCTCCAGCTCTTCGGTGAACAAACTGCCTCCTGCTACAGCCGAAGATTTCAAATTTTGACTTATCAGTCCAGAGCACCTGCTGCCATTTTTCTGCACCCCAGTTCCTATGTTTTCGTGCATAGTTGAGTCGCTTAGCCTTGTTTCCACGTTGGAGGTATGGCTTTTTGGCCACAATTCTTCCATGAAGACCACTTCTGGCCAGACTTCTCCAGAGAGTAGATGGGTGTACCTGGGTCCCACTGGTTTCCACCAGTTCTGTGCTGATGGCGCTGTTGGACATCTTCCGATGTCAAAGGGAAGTAAGCATGATGCATCTTCCATCTGCTGCATTAAGTTTCCTTGGCTGACCACTGTGTCTACAGTCTTT